AAGACCCAAGTTTTGTATCTAGGCCACGTCTTAGACGGAGACGGCGTTAAGCCAGAAGATAGCAAGATTGCAGCGATTAGAGATTGGCCCACGCCACGTACGCTGACAGAGTTGCGCTCGTTCCTAGGCTTAGCAAATTACTACAGGAAGTTCGTGAGGAACTTCTCCACCATCGCTGTGCCCCTTCGCAGATTACTAAGAAAAGAGACAATCTGGAAGTGGGACAAGGACTGCACGTCTGCCATGAAGAAGCTAAAGCAGGCGTTGATAGAGTACCCGGTCCTTAAGGTCGCCGATCCGTCCTTGCCTTTTGTCRTTACTACGGATGCTAGCCAGTACGGCATAGGCGCAATGTTACAGCAAGACGATGGCAATGGCTATAGACCCGTAGAGTTCATGTCCGCTAGGATGCCTTCAGAGAAGGTTGYGACATCTACCTATGAGAGGGAACTCTACGATCTCAGGCAAGCATTAAACCACTGGAAGCACTACTTGCTTGGGAGGCACTTCAAAGCCTATTCGGACCATGAAACGTTACGATGGTTAAAGACCCAGGCCAAGATGACACCTAAGCTTACTAGGTGGGCCTCAGAGATAGATCAGTACGACTTCGAGCTCAAGCCTGTTAAAGGGAAGTACAATGTAGTCGCGGATGCTCTGAGTAGGAGAGCAAATTACTTTGGGGCAATAGTACATCACCTCGATATAGGAAAGGATCTGCAGCAGAAGGTTAGAGAAGCCTACGCGCAGGACCCTATATATAGTGAGCTCCTCACGCGAGTCAAGGACGCCCCAGAGACCGAGCCGAACTACCGCACTACTAAAGGGCTACTCTTCGAGAAGACTAATGTATTTGACCGCCTGTGCATTCCCAATAGCGAAGACATCCGTAGTTTGATTTTGGGGGAATGCCACGACACAGAGGGTCATTTCGGTTGGCAAAAGACCTTAGCCAATCTGATGCGCGCGTATACAGAGAGTATGAAACGTTGCAAAGTCTGCCAGCGTAATAAGAGTTCTACGCGCGCCCCGCTAGGTCTTCTCAGACCCTTGCCCATTCCGGATCAGCCGGGAGGCTCAGTGTCAATAGATTTCATGGAGCAGGCATGGCAAGAGCCAAGTCATGGTCATAGTTGACCGCTTTAGCAAGTACGCAGTTTTTGTTCCTTTGCCTTCAGAGGTGCGTACTGACTTAGTAATACAGAGATTTTTTGACTGTTGGGTTAGTGAGAATGGGATTCCACTGTCTATAGTTAGCGATAAAGATAGTCGCTTCACTAGCCAGAACTGGCAAGAACTCATGGGAGTATACGGATCTAAGTTGTTGATGCCGTCCGGCCGCCATCCAGAGACTAACGGTCAGACAGAGCAAATGAACAAAATCCTACAGCAAGTTCTGCGCATGTACATAAGGCCAGATCAGATTAACTGGGACGAGCTGTTACCTAAGGTAGCTAGTGCATATAATAACAGCATGCATCTGTCCACCTGCTGCACTCCCAATGAACTGCACAAGTCCTTTAGGCCCCGTAGACCATTTGAAGGACTTAGCCGGGATCAGATTCACAGATTGCCACCCGGGACCAGGGAGTTTGCTGTGCAACGCGAGGAAGAACTAGCTACTGTAGTAGAAAACCTCAGAAAGGCCCAGCACAGGATGATAGAGCAAGCCAATAAGCATCGTCGCCCCTCGCAGTTCCAAGTAGGCGACTTAGTCTGGGTCAGTTCTAAAGAGTTTGCACCTGAGGAGAACATCTCGCAGAAGTTACTACCCACCTATAGAGGACCGTGGCCAGTCCTAAAAGTCAAGGGCGGCGAAGATGGACTGTCCTATACCATAGAACTCCCAGCACACCTCCACACGTATCCAGTTTTCCACGTATCAAAGTTGTTACCGTGTCAAACGAGCGATCAGTTTCCATCCCGTAGGTCCATGATTCCACCGGATATGGATGGAAGATACGACATTGATGGCATAGTGGCTGAAGATGTATTCAGGACTGGAGGTAGGGGTCGTCCACAGAAACAATACAAAGTTCATTTTAGTTATCAAGAACCGGAAGACGACCGCTGGTTTACAAGATCTGAACTTCTAGAGACAGCTCCCGACATAGTCCGAGCCTACGAGAGACAGCAGAAGGAGGACCTCGAATTTAGGCCGGCGGGAGTGAAACGGTATTCACCAATTCGTGGTAGCTGATGCAGGTCCCAGGGCTCGATCTCTGGTTCCCCAACTTACCTGTGTACAATACCTGCATCAACTCGAAGAGTTGAACCCGCGACCTGTAGAACCGCCAAGGGTAGGTAGGTCTGTTGTAGGTCTATAGGTAGCCAGGATTCGATCCGTAGCCCTGTAGATTAGAAGGTTGGCAAGTGGTCAAGTGGTGCAGGCAAGTGGGCAAGTGGTGTGACTAAAGCAAGCCCACGTTGGAGACAAGGACAAGTGGCAAGGTCAAATAGTAGGACCCCAGTGCAACTGCACTGCGTCGTAGGGTCATCGTCAAACAGTCAAGGGAGAGTCTAGAAAGTACCAGTCCGGTCCAGCAAGTACCACGGGGGGGACTGTGTGCACCATGGGCCAGGGACACAGGGCAGACCAATGCAGCGCAGAAGAATAAATCAAGAGGCTGCGTCCAGCCAGGGGGATGATTCCTGCGGATGCCATGCGGAAGCGCTGCCTTAGCAGCTTGTGCGAGGAGGTCTGCAGTGTGCCCGAAGACGAAGTGGGCAGAGAAGTGTAGTGTAGCGATAGGTAGTGGCAGCTAGCACTGCCATAGCTGTAGCATAGCGTGTGTGTGTGTTGCGTATGATACTGAGTGTTGCGTGTGGGACATCCAGGGTGATCCAGAGTGCGAACAGTGAGTTGTGTGGGCGCCCAGTCGCCATAGCCAGTTGAAGAGAACTCATATCTGGTTAGGATATCTTAAGTCCTGTCAGGGCGCATGTCGCCAGTTGCTGTATCGCTGTTTGCATGCAAGACAAGTGTGAATAATCGGAGTGTGAATGGATTTGTAATCATCTTCCCATAAATGCCATAGACTGGCCTTTGTGCGTGTGTGCGCTATACATAACTCCTCTGTCAAACCATGACACAGTGAAACCATTTCGTCCAACTTTCACGGACTTGTCATGAGGTTGAACCTCGACAGTCTGCCCAGGATGCATTTGACTGAGGGATAAGGACTAATCACGTCGCCCAGAGTGGGCTAAACCCCTGCGAAAGTGGTCCACTTTCCTCACACCACCGCGTGTGTGTTGTCAATATCCCCAAACTCTCTCTCTCAATCCATCCTCGTACCATCACAAACTATATTACACCCATCTGCCTCCAAAGGGGCACACTTGCACAAATATATATAGTTTTTTCAATCCACAAAACAAAGGTAAGGGGCAGAAAACAACATACCATACTTGCGGCGCACGTCGTGCGCGGCACTTGCGCACGTGCGCCGCATCATGCAGCTCGCAAGCAGAGCGCGCACGACATGCGCCACATGGCCGAAATTAAGAGTGAGAGGGTGGGTTGTCGTAAAAATGAAACCGGGCCCACGCAATTTTTTTTGGGGCTGTGCCAAGGCCTGGAATTTTTTTTGGTCCCAACGTTCGAATTCGAACGCTGGGTGAGGTGATCTCTCGCCCAGGCCGCCAGACACTTCACTGGTGTCCTCCACCTCGTCCTCCCGCCGCCGTCGTCATCGAAGAATCGTCGGCCATCCTCCATAGCCGGGCAGGAGCACGAGGCCAGCTGCGGGGTTGGAGGCTTGCCAGTTCGCCGGTGCGTTGCTCATCCTTTTCATGGACAACTCTCTCTCTCTCTCTCTCCACACACACACACACGTGTAGTAGTGTATATGCCCATGTTCTAGCGGAAGATTCATCGATTTTGCTCATCCTATCGATGAAGTAGCGTGAGGCCAGCCGCGGGGCTTACCTGTTCGCCCGTGCGTTGTCTCTCTCTCTCTCTCTCTCTCTCTCTCTCCCTCCCTCCACACACACACACACACGCGCATGTAGTACTGTATATGTCCATGTTATAGCGGAAGATTCATCGATTTTGCTCATCCTATCGATGAAGTAGCGTGAGGCCAGCTGCGGGGTTGGAGGCTTACCTGTTCGCCCGTGCGTTGCTCATCCTATCGATGGAAAACTCTCTCTCTCTCTCTCTCTCGCCCCCCCCCAAAAGCAAACGCCCCTTGGGACCCCAAGCCCCCCCCACCAAAAAAAAACAAAAACAAAGAAAAAACGCGCATCCAGCACACCTGCCCCAGCCCAACCCGCATGCGTGTGCATGTGCGCTTCGCCCCGCACATAGCGCAGCGCGCACCGGTGCTGTGCGCCGCAAATATGCAACATACCTAACACAGAAGGCTTCACCAGCAGGAAAGCACTGACCAGAGGCAGCGTATAGTCTGAAAAAACTTGGAGAGCCCTCCAAGTCAGCCCATAATCACAGTAGCGGCACATATAACACTCCTATTCTACCCAAAGAACACATTCACGCCACCACATTCACAGAATCTCCACGCGACACCAGGAGCACTACTGCTTAAAACACCATGGAAGCACCACCATCTTCCATGTGCTCCAAAAGAGCAGTCCCTGGGAGTGGCACCCACAGCAAAGACTCTCTGAGCCTTCTCATGAATATACCGTGACCATGACACCAAACAAAGATTCCCACCACGTGCGTGTGCACGAGAGTGAGTGTCTGTGTGTCTGCGTGTGTATGTGTGTGTAGGTGCTTGCTTGCTTGCTTGATTGATTGACGGATTGGTTCAATGATTGAATGATTAATTGACGGATTGGTTAATTGATTGTTTGTCAATGATTGAATGATTGATTGACCGATTGGTTAATTGATTGCTTGTTAATGATTGAATGATTGATATTGCTTGACTGATTGAATGATTGATTGATTGATTGATTGATTGATTAGGTAGATACCTAGGTAGATGTATATAAACAGAGAGGATATGTAGAAAGACAGGTCACCATTGGATGGGTGGTTGGTTGGACATACATATGGGATGGGTAAAAAAATAGASRGAGAGAGAGAGAGAGAGAGAGAGAGAGAGAGAGAGAGAGAGAGAGAGAGAGAGAGAGAGAGAGAGAGAGAGARRAGAGAGAGAAGAMRAAAAAATTAMTGAAWGRTTGCTGGGTGGATTGATGGTACGACAACCAGATGGATGGACGGATGGAGAAACCAAGACACAAAAGGATGATCAGAAGGATGGACCAAGGGATGAAAGGCTGGTCAGATGGCGGGACCGACATGATTGAAGGGTACACAGATGGAGGGTTGGCAAATGCAATGGCAAAGCGAAGTGGGACAAATGAACCACGAGAATAGGTAGGATGGTGAATAGATGGCCAGAGGGACAAATGGACTGGCAAAGGCATTGGTTGATGGATGGACAGGTGGGTTGGAGGACACACAAAATGCCAGCTGGCGGATGGAAGGGCAGGCAAGCCCATGCGGTGGAGGATGGAAGAGCATGCAGGCAGGGAAAGGGTTGACTGTTGGTTGCTGCCGGGGGTACAAATGGGTGAGTGAGCAGGTAGATGGATAATTGGGCGGATGGATGATGAGAGCGAGGTGATTGCTTATGGTTATCAGTGAAATGAGGAAAGGATCAAGGCGTCGACATATTTTCATCACTAGATTCGAAACAGAAGTTAAAAAAAAGGCAGCAGAGAGTACTCAAGACGGATAAATAGCAGATAGACCGTGCAAAGACAAAGGCGCTGCCTACAATGGCTAAGCAAATACTGACGTGTGAAAGCAGGTAGGTTGCCAATTGAAAAAGACTCCATAAACAATGTCGCAACAGTGGCAAATGCATCACTTTAAGAGAACTTGACACAATTCACACACTTAAAAATTTGAGCTTTTGTGCAGATAAAACAACTTATCCAATTTTAAAAACAAATGCACAGTGCAATAGCGGGTCAGACATACCCGTACCAACTTGAATGGCCTGGGCACTTTGAGGTGATTAGAAGCCAAAAACTAAAACCGCGACGAAGAAAGCAAATTTTCCGGCTACAATGCCAACAACAAATGACTAGCCACTCGTCACTGGGGCACAGGGTCTGCTATGGGCCTTTTCTTTAATCATAAGTTACGGAAATGAATTGGAGCCCACCCATTGGGTGGCAACAGGGTAAAATCTGAATTACTCACCCACACCACTCAAGGTCACTCAGACCCCGCTACTGTTACCCCCAGTATCTCATCAAACACTTCCCAGAGCAGAAAGGCAGGCATATCAAGAAGAGCCTGGAAACTCCCAAGGTTCACAGGGTCTAACACAGAAGTGCAGTGCAACCATATGCGAAAGCGCAGCATAGTTACTAAAGAGTCGCTGCGCAGCAAATGCCTTTCTCAAGCTTAAGCCACCCGCCGTTACTGCAAAAGCACTCCTACTCTCCATTCCACGTAAAGCACCAACCCTGTCCCTGCCCACATATCAAACCTGGACAGCGGTCGCAAAGGTCCACTGCTACCGAATTGCAACAAGGTACACATTACTGTGAAAACAAGGACTTCTTCATCTCCATCTTGTCTTGCACCCTTCGCATGCCCATCCATCCCAACTTTCCAGCACTTCTGATTATCAGCCCGTAGCATCACAACAAGCCTTCATTGAAGCAAAAACCGGGAAGATTTTTCATTTTCATCAGCCCCTCATCCCTTCGTTGCATCTGGCACTCTCGCACCGCCAACATATAAGTATCCAAGCGAACTGTTAGGATCATGAAACGATGCAAGACATCAAAGGTTTTCATAATCCTACAGCAAGGAAAAAAAGAACGGATTTGCAAGTAGAGAAGTTACGAAAAGACAATGGCAAGCAACAGCACACAGCACCACATGCGAGGGACTGAGCCTCACTGCGGCAAACGTATGTAGGAGGCGAAGTGAGGTAGGCCATTTAGGGAAAAGGCAAGATGGCACATCCGGAGGTTGAAAAAATAGACAACTTTCTTGAGGCAGCAACCAAGGATATAAATCCCCATGAAAGAATGAAAGAGGAAGGCATCCTTCTGGGGCTTGTTCCAAGACTCAGCCGACACAAAAGATTTCCTGATGGCAGAAAGAGGCTCGTCAGAAGTACTGATACCCTGCCTGTATGTCCTTGAAGAGTCCTTACCTTCCTAAAAGAAATATAACTGAGCCCTCCCAGCTAGCACTTTCCCTCGTCTCCTTTTCCTAGCACAGCAAAACCCCAGAAATATTAATTACAATCTGATACAGGCAAATCCAAATAGGATTATCACCTCTGCCTGGCTTACGACCGCTCCGATAGAAAGAAAACACACTCTTAAGATTCCATGATACTGATAAGATGCAAGACACCAACAACCACCCACCTCAAATTACTACCTTCACGGGAGCATTCCCACTCATGTGTTGCAGCAGCTTGACTTTGGCTTTGCCACTGGTTTCCTTGGATCCACTCGCTGAGGAATTCTTAGCCCGCTCTGTGGCCATAAAATCCCATTCGTTTCAGCAGAAAACACAGAACACACCACAGTACAAATCAGAGTGACATCAAATCCTCGAGTTCCTCATAGCTAGCTATTCATCGCGTAACAGAAGTCACAATGCCAACAACACAGATCTGCCAAGTGAAGCCAAGCTGGATATCCAGCTTCTCGTTTGTTTCAAATCCTAAAAGAAATCCCATGCATCTAAAAGAGTCCCTGCCTATCGCATTTTGCCTTCCGTTCCAGTCTGCCTTTCTCACTCAACCTGGAAGAATTAGTTGTTTCAGTCCGCTAGGGGAAATGCATTGCAGAATCTTGATAGAAAATTCATGGATCACATCTCTGCCTATCGCCTTTCGCCTCCCACCATCGATACTGGAGCATATAACCAACACATAGTTTGGTACACAACCATTGAGCATCTCTTTTAGTGCAGACACCATTTTTAACACCACCTCTGCCCTGTGATTAGAACGGGGCTTCCGCCGCACACAAGGTTGAACTACCAAGACGAATAAGCTTGCGGCACGGAACCTGACCTGTGACATTCTAGATGTACAGGATCAACTGAAAAAAAGGGCCAATTCTGCTTCATGGGCAATGGTAATGGATTACCTGCTACGTGATTGCATTCTTGACGCCTAAATAAGTACAAACCCTGGCCATGCTGGGCCGTCGCCCGGCCCGGCAGGTCCTGCCTGGTACGCCCGGGCCAGTTGGTCAGAGGGGGAGCAGGCAAGGATCCCCCCCAAAAAGAAAACAGACTGCAGGCCAGGACTGCGCTTGGCCTAAGCAGTCAGAATCTGGTCTTAACTTCGATTTTGGTGATGGGTCATCCAGGGGGGTCCGGGAGTGTAAACAGTGACTGAAGGGGTTTAAAATGGTACATTTTGACTCGCATTTTCTCGTTTGCTTTTATCTTAAACCAGCACTACCTCTGTCAATCTTGGGGAAAATGAGAAAACTGGTTGTTTTCCCACTTTTTCCGAACTTTTCGGGTGTTGGACGAGGCTCGGCAGCAGCAGGTAGGCGACTTCCATATAGCGAAGGGCCTGCCTCCGCATTGGAAATTCGGCCACTGGCTGCTTTGTGAGCGCTGCTGCGCTATCGCCTGCCAGGCTCACGCGCTCACGGGCGACCTCGAAGGATCAGGCAGCCATAGCTGAGCTGCACTGCTGTATGCTGGATGGGGCGCATGGTGGTCCTTGGGTGCAAGTGGCATCTGTGCGTTGGGGAATGAGGTTGCGAGTGATACGAGAGACATACCTGGTGCTCGAGGCGTGCGGCATTGGCCGAGATCTGCTCGTACTTCGGGGAGCTGTTGACGTCATCAAAGCGGCATTGTAGAGTAGGCTAGATAGGATCTGCCATCTGTAGTCTGGGCGCCGAGCGCCAGATAGGATATCAACATTGGTTCTTCGTTGATGATGATGATGAGACTATTCCAGCATTGTCAATTGTGAGCTTTTGGTGTGCTCTTATTTGGTGAAACTCGTTATGCAATTCTGCTTTTGGTTCGAGGTCACGACTATCTGATCTAATGTGTATGATGCTGTTTGATTGCTGAAGTTCGCTATTGCTCATCTTCCTTGCACACGTCAGGGAAGGCCATGCACTGAGTTGTACTTGCACCAAAACTCACACGTTCGCATCTAGCCGCTATAATGGCCAGTTTCATTGTTTGCGCTTTTGTTTTCGTTCTATTTTTTGTTTTGATGCCCCGCCAGGAAGGCACGGCACAGTCCACACTATTACTTTGCAGAATGTATGAACCCGCTTTCCCGCCCGAAGTTCAGTTTCAATTTTTTTATCCCTCTTCCTTCTTTCGTGGACCTGACACCCTTGCCGTAACGCCCTGACTGAGGGCATACTCACATAACGACTTTGGGTATCTATCAGGTATCACATCCAAAGGGGTGTTTGTTTTTTTCTTTTATTTTTTTTGGGCTGCGAGTGGGTCATTTTTTTAAGTCTGGCTGTGCTTTTTCTTTTTCGTTTTTTTTACCAGAAAAGAAACAAGACGGAACCCAGGCTCAGCAAAACTCGATGAGCAGTGAAAATCAGGCTCGCCAAAAACAGGCTCGGAGGTAACAAGTGTAATGACCCTCCAAAACACAGACTGAGAACAATGCTGATTTCTAAGTTCTGCCACTGGAATGGATGCCTTGCTGAGATTCCCGCATTCCGCTGAGTTTTCTACGTATATGTGTTGGTGTGCGTGCTTGATGGTCTGCGCCTGTCTGAGTGCTGGTCGGCCTGAATGTGTGTGTGACCGGCAAGGGCACATGCTTGTTTGGGAGGCCCGTAGTGCCAGTACTTAGCTGTGGCTGTGACATTGAGGGTTGCAGCACTTCGAGCAATGGAAAAACACTCAAGTAGCAGGTAGGTCGGGACCACTCCAAAAAGCAGATGTGCCGGGTACTCGAGGCCGAGTAGAAGAAGACAAAAGTTGGCATTTTTAGAGGCCCAGTAGTTGTAGACTAGGTCTAGGCGGGTACCAGTCCAACCAGTCTGTGTCTAGGGCCTGCACGGGCAATATCATAGTCTCACCTGATGAGTGAATGGATGGAGTATCTTGTGTGCAATGCCATATCGTTCTACAGTACTCTATTTTTTTCATTCTGAGCAGCCGTAGTCTGTAGGTTCTTTCTGAAGTTGAAATTCGGTACGGTAGGGACAACAAGTAGTTCTTTGTGGAACTCTTGTTGGTTGGGACCCAGTCTTGACTCAACTGGGACCGTTTTGGACCCAGTGAGACTGGGCACAAACAAGAAGGGCCCCTTAGGCCCAAATCTGTTGACATCAGTCACCTTGCTCTACCTTGCTAAGAATCGGAGTTCATGCTTTCGGACCAGAAGGGCCCCTTGGGCCCAAATCTGTTGACATCAGTCACCTTGCTCTACCGTGCTAAGAATCGGAGTTTATGCTTTCGGACCAGGATACTCGCTGCTGAGGGGATATCAGCTGAGATATTTCACAAACTTTATTGCACGGTCCGCCGCTTGAATCGCACCTTATACACCACTCAATTCTCTCTCGACTTTGCTGTGCTTTTTACGCAACGGAGTCCCGCTAGGCTTGAGGGGATGATCTCATACGTAGTCAGACCAGACTGTGTTGCTGAATCGAATATCTCTGACTACTTTATTTTATTTTTCTATGTTTGTCTGCTCTCCAGTCCAAATGAATTGCCGGTCTGGCTAGTAGTTCTACCTTCTCTTCTGACTGAAGCCGTTTCTTTCATTGGGTTAACTAATGACCATATCGCCGTTTCTTTCATTGGGTTAACTAATGACCATATCCACACGATCACGAATGAGAGAGAGTCATGAGAGAGAGGACACCGAGTGTTGCTCTTGAGGGCGTCAGAAAGAAGCAGCGGAGCGCCCGTCGAAGGAAGATGGCAGGGAGCACTCATTGTGAGAGGCTTTACCAAATCTTTTCTGACTTGGGTATTGACAATCCTAACATGACTGACATGGCGACATCAACCTTAAAGCTTCAGTCAGTCTGCAGTCAGTCTGAAGGCACAAACGGGTGCCTCTCGCCATGGGATAACCCTTCTTTCTTTATCCTCTACCAGAATGCACTGAGGAAGGAAGCGAAGGCAGAAAAAAACAGCGGAGGAGAAGGAAAAGGCCACTATACAGGGCCATGAGGAAGTTTTTAAGACGTTACCCTCCCTGCCTGATAAGGAATGAAGCCTCATCTGGTCACTTATGAGTGGGCACTGATCAATTGCCACATGATGAGTACTCTCCCTGGCTTTGTGTCCAGTTGTTTGATCAGGTGAAAGACCTGCAGGATACCATAGCCCAGATGGAGAAGAGGCACAATGACCAGCTGCAGCGAATCGCAGATCTGTAACTGACCAATCGTAACATCCCACTTCTTCCAAATGCATGAAGTTCCGCTGCCTTGCCTACCACCCACGCCCCCCTCTTCTCTTCTTCATCTTTGAGCTTGACGAGTATGTGACCTGCAACAGCTTCACCTTCCACTGCAACTGGTGCAGTCCCAGTTCCAGTTCCTGCAGATCCTGGCCCTAGTAATGGCTTTCCCTATGTGGGTAAAAAGGCGGCCGTATTACCGCCTAGATACGACGAGAAGGGCCATGTCATGTCCTGGCTCACAGCTATGCGAGCATACTTCAACATTTTGGGAACTCCCCCGGTTACTCAATCGATTGTCATGGGAACCAATGTCTTGCCCGAAGTACGGAGCTGGGTTAGAGCTCCAAGCCATACGGGCCGGATACGCCAGACTTGACATGAACAAGTGGCTAAAGGCCACGGAGATCACTGCACTCAAGGAACTGTAATGACTCGCCATAACACAGACTGAGAACACTGCTGATTTCTGAAGTTCTGCTGATGGAATGGATGCCTTGCCAAGATTCCCGCATTCGGCTGTGTTTTCTTTGTCTGTATGTGTGCGTGCCTGTCCGAGTGCTTGTCGGCACGAGTGTGTGCGTGACCCGCAAGGTTACTTGCTTGTTTGGCAGGCCCGTAGGGCTGGTACTTACCTGTGGCCGTGGCATTGAGGGTTGCAGCAGGGAAACACTCAAGTAGCGGAGCCAGGGGCCCGTGGTGCTTAGAGCAGCGGAAAAAACACTCAAGTAGCAGGTAGGCCGGTATACATACTATAATTAACGGCAAAGAATATCGAGTTGCATATTCAATTAGACGCGTGAGTTTTTCTCCTACAACAGACGCCATACTACCACCCATGAATTGAAAGTCCATTACCCCTAAAGCAACAAGTATCCCATTTAATTTACCAATCCCTGTATGATTTTGATTTTCTTCAAGTCGCTCTTTATATTTTTGTTGATCCAAAAATCCTAAAATGTCATAGGGTATCATTTTATTATCAATTGGTTGCCAAGTGCCAGGATCAACAAGTAATTCGATTCTTTCTGTGCTATTCATTTTTAGATGATACCCACAATCTTCACAGCTTCGTTGATTTTGTTTAAGAAACTTTACATGTAG